CCCATCGCTCTCTCACTCCTGCGTCCTGCTGGGGACCACCTTCTTACCCCACAAACCACAGCCAAGATGACTGCTCAGCCCCCAAGGGCCAGACCCAATGCCTGTCTTTTCTAGTTCATCACTCACTACCAGTTTCAGGTTTTTCCCCCATGAAAGAGACGGGTGCGGGCTGGCCCAGCCCCTCTTGCTGAGCCGGCAGCAGGTCACAGAGGATGGTGGCCTTTGACTCATCCTCTGTAGTGACAAGCAGGAAAGGGGACACAGAAGAGGGCAGGGAGGGTGTGGAAGGGGCCCTGGGCCATCAGGGCCCAGGGTTGTGACCTGGCTTCAGTGCACATGGGAGGAGACCCCAAAAGTGGCCTCTGGCACAAATCAGGTGCCGACACTCGGAAAAACAGCTCTGCCCCGCCCTGTCGGGTTTGACTCGGGGCGTTGTCACCCCTCGGTCCGGAACTTGGAACTCACACCCCCGGCCCAGTTTTTCCACAGACCACGGAAGACTGCAGGCGGAGTCTGAGCATTTTTCGCATCTGTTGCTTGTTACTGATTGACATGCTAGATGAGCCCATCCCCCCTCCCGTGTCACCCCAGCCTGGTGCAGAGCTCTGGGGTCATCGGGATGCTCTGCAGAGTGCCCTCTGACTGGTGAATAGTCACCTTTTGGGATTCAGCTAGAGGAGCTCTGATCTCATGCCGGACCAATGGGCTAGTTGGGGAAGGTTCTGGAAACCTCTGGGCGTCTATGCAGCATGAACGCTCCTGTCCCGGGGACTGTTTAGAACCCGATGGACACACACTGAGCACGGAGGTGGGGACGACTGCCCGTGTCACTGCACGAGGGGTTGAGGGGACACACACACACACACACACACACACACACACACACACACGGATGGCTAATGGTGGTGCCTGCCTTTCCTCTCACTTCCCTGCACCCCACCTACCTTGGGCACCTAGCTGGACAAGCTCCGGACCATCATCGAGAGCATGCTCACCTCCTCGTCCACGCTGCTGTCCATGAGCATGGGCCCTCACAAGCCCCCGATCACCTTGGCGCCTGACCAGATTGACCCTGAGGCCACCTGCCCCGCCTGCAGCCTGGACCTGGGCCACCAGGTCAGCACCCTGGTGCAGCGCTACGAGCAGCTCCAGGACATGGTCAACAACCTGGCCTCCACCCGGCCCTCCAAGAAGGCCAAGCTCCAGAGCCAGGTGATGCCCCAACTCTGCCCCCACCCACTGGGCCAGGTGATGCCCCCCTCGACCCCCTGTCCACTGGGGCCAGGAGATGGGGCCCCCAGGCCTCCAGCCTGGACATCAATCTTCCACACTGGAGGCTCTGGTCCATTCACAGGGTCACCCTGAGGGCAGGCAAAGCTGGTCTGGGGACTGAGAACTTGGGGAGGGGGGTTAATACAGGCTGGCTGGGTGTGGATTTGTTCATTCCTAGGCTGTTGGGACACAGGTCCAGCTACAGGAGACATGGGCACCCCTGCACACATTTCCAGAACCTTCCCAACTGCCCTGCCTGTTGG